GCAATCTACAGCTTTTTAATATGCAACTTATTTTACAGTACATCTTATGATTGCCCTGTTCTGCTGATGGAAGGGGGGGTCATCTCATCCAGTTCCCCTCACAACAGCACCCTGACTTGTGTGAGTTTTTATCTGTCAGGATCCCCTTTACCTCAGCAATGTTTTTTGGGGGAATCTGCTGCTTACTGTAGAATGGTCAGAACAAAGTTTAAGTCCAGAGTCCAGTGGCAACTTTAAGACCAACAAAGTTTTATTCAAAGTATAAGCTTTTGTGTGCAAGCACACTTCTTAAAATACAATAAAGTTCACACATATAGGAAGAGGGTGAGCAGTAAATTAGCATACAGCACAATAAAGATACATGACAAAATTGGAGATTGATGGGCAGATGTATCCTTAATTGTGAAATGCTGAGAGTAATTCGCTGAGACCCTGGCCAGTGATACACCCCAGTGGAATTAAGCCTACTTGGAAGTAAGCACCCCTGACAAATGGAGTTTGTTTCCCCATAACTATGTAGAGGAAGGCAGCCTTCCAGCCTAGTCCTATGCAGGAGGAGAACAGGCTTCTCTTGGAGCTTTGATCACACCATTAAAGGAAGTCACAGCTGCAACAGCTTCCCTCACCCCTCCTGACCAGTTTCAACCTGTCCTCCTCCTATATACCTGTTTCAAGGTATATTGCTCTCTCCCTCCTTAGCAGTTGGCCACTTTATCCCTGCAGAAATACTAGGCCCAACTATTCAGTAAGTTGTTTTCCTCATAGAAGCACATCTAAAATGGCAGCATTCGCATTTTTTTATAGGACTGAAACATAAGTAGTGCTTGTAGATATGTAAGCAATCACAGTCAGCAAAGGGATTGGCATCTCTACATGGGCCCTGATTTGAGGGTGGCCCAGGAAGACAAGGCCTGGTCCTTCTCACAGTTACACAGAAGGTGCAGCTCCCTGCCCTCCCCAAATTAAAAGTAGTTTTTGTATCCTCCCACTTTGACAGGGTTAGAAATTCAGTCCACTCAGCCTGTTTAAGGGGGCTGCTTTGCAGATGCCAGCTTTGGTTTGCTGCCTTAGCCGGCCACTAGTCCCTCTCTTCAATTTAACTGTGCCAAAAGGCCTTGGAGCAGCAATGACAATCGATTAATGTTCCCAAAACTAGGATTAAGGAGGGTTTGGGAAAGAGACCACTTGGACAGTCGAACTGAACACTTAGGACACAGCTGCACTAGAAGACAGAAGAGTTGTTTCACTTTGGAATGATTAAAGGACGGGATAACATGATAAGAGGCTGAATCCACACAGTGAGGATTCTCTGTTGTGTATTCATAAAGTAAAGGTAAAGGTTCCCTTGCTCGAAAGCCAGTCGAATCCGACTCTAGGGTTGCGGTGCTCATCTCCGTTTCAAAGCCGAAGAGCCAGCGCTGTCCGAAGACGTTTTTGTGGTCATGTGGCCGGCATGACTAAACACCAAGGCACACGCTATGCTGTTACCTTCCCACTGAAATGGTACCTATTTATCTACTTGCAATTTCTTGCTTTTGAATTGCTAGGTTGGCAGGAGCTGGAACTAGAGATGGGAGCTCACTCCATCATGCGGCACCCAGGTCTCGAACTGCTGAACTACTGACCTTCCACAGCCTGCAGTTCAGCGTCTTAACCACTTGAGCCACCGCAGCTCCATAGTGACTGGTAAATTGAATCTGCAACACAGCATCCACATCTGGGGATTTCTGCACTTTCCTCTTTCAGCAACCATTTTTCCTATGCTGTTTTGCTACTAGAAGGCTTTTTGAGGGCTTTAAAAATGTTAACTGCTATAGCATTCTAGCACTACAGCGATTTTTTTAAATTCTCAAAAAGTCCTTAGGTGGCAGAAAATGCAGGGAAAATGCCAACCACAACAACTTTTAAAAGTGTTAACTGTTCCATCTAGATGGTTAGCACTGCATTCTTTCAGAAAAGATTGTAGGAAATCAGTTTCGAGAAACAGCATGCGCAGGATAGAGAAAACCAGGGAAAGGGATGACTCGAGAACCATGTTGGTGGATGCTCCTCAAAACAGCACTCTAGGAGCAAAGGTAGAGGAAAAAATGTCTAGAAGTAGCTAGAGCTGTGTAGATCTCTGCTTTTTTTGGCTCCTACTCCTATTAAAGAAACTCGCTGACAAAATGAGGGTTTTTTAAAAAAAAAAATACAATCACAATGGTTTCCTCTCCCGTATTCTCTCATGTCTTCTTTCACATTTATTGCATATCTGGTGCTGCTGTTGTGTTTCACGGTGGACAAAGGTTCTGCCACATTCCAGGCATATAAACAGACAAGCTCCCTCATTGGCACCTTGTGGAGAATCAAATTCCTCATCCATGTGGAGTCTTTGGTGTGAGGTCAGCCCAGAGGTCCATTTAAAGCTCTTCTCACACTTGGGGCATTTGTAAGGCTTCTTATCCATGTGGATCCTCTGGTGCCGACTGACAAGTCTGCAGCTTGTGTGTTAACCGTTTCATCCCTGCAATATAAAACTCACCCATGAGCATAGACTGATTTAGTAGTAGCAGGAGGAGGAGAAGGAGGGGAAAGGCACGAGAAACGCCCACCACCAGTCCCAACAAAATCCATCCAGTAGAGTGGCCTATGTGCCTAGGAGGATGTGGCCAGTTTGGGGGAGTTTAATTTTTGGGAAATGGCTTGTCATGGAACACGACAGCGCAAGCAGAATGGAGCCGTCAACTAGTCAAAAACAAGGCTTGGCCAGCTCCTGTATTTTTACTATGCAGAACTCAGGCCGGCGAGTCTTTCCGAGGCATAAATACGATCCCCCGCTGCATGAATACATGGAAGCTGCTTTGATACCAGTCCATTAGTCTGTCAAGGTCAGTCGTGCCTGCTCTGGCTGGCAGCTGCTCTCCGGGGCCGCGGTCTATCCCTAGTCCTTTTAGAGGGAGAGACTGAACTTGGGGGGTCTTTTGTACGCAAAGCCCCTTGCTCTGCTCCTGAGACACGGCCCCTCCGTCAGAACGCTTACAAGTATGAGGGGCGGGGGGGGGGGGGGGTTCAATCGCCGGCAACCCTCCGGGGGAGTAGAAGTGTCATTACCTTTCGGGGGTAGCTGCGCTGCGATCATTCCAAACGCGCAAGTCAAAAACAAACGCGTGTCTTTTGGGGCCATCTTCCCGATGAACAGAGTTATTGAAGCAGAAGTATTTCTGGGCTGGACGGGGCCTTTAGATGCATTGTTTCTGCTTCAATGCTCTGTTCATCTCTAAGGTGCCGACCTCCACCCCACCCCCCCATAGGCTGGACTCGACTACCCACGGAGAAGTTTGGAGGAGATTGTCTGAGAACGGGCCTGGGAAAGTTGCCAGCTGACGGAGGGGGGGTGAATAAAGGCGGAACCAATTTGGGAGGCTCCCGTGCCTTAACAGCAGCTTAACGTCAAGAAAACGGAGGACCACGGTCTTCGCTGTGCGTAGATGCGCGTTATTACCTGCTAATACTTACAGATCACGTCTCCGTTTGAAGACAGCAGGAGCACGTGCTGATTGAAAAGCTGGCAACCCTGGGTTACAAAGAACGAGTGCCAGAAACCTGCAGAGTCGAAGAAGGTCCTTGACAAACCTCCAAAGCAAATCTTTAAATTCCTGGAGGGAGTTCCCCCACCTGGAAGTACTGATTGGGAAAACGACCCTTTTGACTGGAGTGAATTTAGCTCCAGGAGTGAGGGGGTTAACAGAGAAGGCGTGGGATCCACCCCTGGCTCTATCAACTGGCGTCATCACGGGAGCGACTGAAAAAAACAGGAGGATGGATCAAACGCGGGGCTGCAGTTTGCAGGTTGCTATGCGAAATAAAGATCAGACAAAGAGAAGTGCTGCACGCAGTTTTCATTTCCGGTTCTCATTTGCATGCTGTCAAAATGCGGGGCTGGAGTATTAACATAAATGCAGAATCGAGGAAGCCTCACTGCTTAGTAAGGAATATATTGTTCCCTTGAAAATGTTGCAGCTCCCTCCGGGAGCAGCAGGTGGCTTGTGATTCATCGATGGGAATTCAGTCTCATCCAGAGCTCCTACTTCAGTGTTTTTGGCAATAAATATAGACAACTATCAGGGGCAAGCTACACACCAGCCTAGGCAATCGGAGCCGGTCGTGATTTTTATAAACTCCTGTTGTGTGTGTGCAAACAATATAGATACATAAGTAAAATAAAATAAAGCTTCAAGAGTTGATTCCCAGTCTGACCTTGTTGCAATGTTTACTTTAGCACTGCCTTAAATCCCGCTGTACCAGTGAGGTTTATTGGCCGGTAAGCGTGCCTGGGATTGTAGTTGTGCAGCGCCAGCTATGAATACTTACTCCATACAAGAAATCCTGCCGTGCCCGATGGGGTTGTGTTGTGTTCAAGCTTTTAAACGTCGCAAGGCCTCTGTTTTACTTGGGAGGAAGCATCATTGGCCGCAGTGGAGTTAGCATCCCGGAGAATATTCGGTTGATTTGTAGTCGAAGACTGAATGTGGAAAGAGCAGTTCTTGCCTGCGAGTAGTCCGTGGACGGATGCAAGGGCTTGAGTGGTAGCAGCAGCAGCTACGGCGGATCTGGCGTTTTGGCACAGCGGTAGCGCCAGTGGTGTGTCCAGATTCTGCTCTCTTGCGTTTGCACCCGGGTAAGCGCCGGCCTTTTGCTTCTGGAGCAGGGAACAGAGTCCTGGGAGACCGGAGCCGTCCGCCGGGGGGCGATGTGCGCATCCCCTTTCCCTCCGGTTGCGCCAGCCGGAGCCGATAGCGTTAATTCCTCTGAGCTCAGGGAACAGCCCCCGTAGCCTTTTCACTCTGAACTGCGCTGTCGGGAAGGCAGAGCCGCGGAAAGGAGCTGTCCGGTCCTCGGGTTTGGTTGGGTTTTCACACTGTTAGACCCCGCAAGGGCCTTAAGTTCCACGCTCCGACGGACCAAATACTGGCAAGTTTAACCTCTCCCGTGATTGTCGTTTTCCAGGCAGACGAAGAGGGGGCAGCTGTTTCGAGGACTGCCAAACCTCACAGTCCCGACCCTTGGAAGGGCTTTTGCGCTCCCTGTCTCGCATAATGGGAATACTTGTGGGTAAGTATGGGGTCCGTTGACAGCCCAGCCTTACCCAGCAGCGTTTTTACTATGCCTAACTGTGGGGGTTAAACAGTGTCTGGCTCATTTCCCCAGACTGACACTGGGATAAAAACGGGCGAGGGGAGCTTTTATTCCTGCCTTGTTGTTTAAAGTCCTTTTTTTGTGTAAAAAATATATTGCAGTCTGTCATCTCCTTCTCCAACAAATAGGTAAAACTCTAGGGGGGAGGGGGGAGGCTGCTTCACAACGACTTTGATTTAACAACAGGCTTTCAGGTTTGAGTTACCTGGTGTGGTGCAGTTGCTGGTGTATTGGATTAGGATGTAGGAGACCTGGATTCAAATCCTCATCCCGCTCTGGCCACTTTTTTCATGGCCTTGGGCCAATCACCGTTTCCCAGGCCTAACCTACCTCTCAAGATGCTTGCAAAGATAAAATGGAGAGGAATTATGTTGATGCTTCTCTGAAGGCAGGGTGAGAAAAAAAATATATCTGCAAGATAAACATTGCACTGAAGTGAGGGAAATGTAATACTTGAGTGTCATTGGAGGGCTGATCCTTGAGGTGGCCCTTTTGCAACAAACTTTTAAGACAACTCTGTGACATTAAAGGTCCGTCTGGTCTAGCACTCCAGCAACTGGCACCCAGAGGTACACTGCTTCTGAACATTTTGTTAATAGCTCTTGACAGGCCTTCCATCCATGAATTTGTCTAATCTACTTTTAAAGTCCTCTAAGCAAGTGGCCCTTGGTACCCCCTGCGGCCCTACAATGATGATATGTGTTGTCAGGAAGGATTCTTTGAATGCTCAGGCTAACCTGATCCTATCAGATCTCGGAAGCTGAGCAGGGTTAGCCTTGGCTAGTATTTGGAAAGGTGACCTCCAAGGAACACCAGGGCTACGACACAGAGGCAAACAACCTCTGAAACATCTCTTGGAAGGAGGAGGAGGAGAAGGGTCATTTGGGCTGAACCAGAGAAAAGGACCCCACTGAGTATTTTACTCAAGCAGATGTGGAAAGAACAGGAACCCATGAAGCTGCCTTCTGTGGAGTCAGACCATTGGCCTATCGAGTTCCGTACTGTATAGTCTGACTGGCAGCAGCTGTGCAGGGTCTCAGGCGGAGGGTCTTTCATGTCGCCCAGAGTCCCTTCTTAAACTGGAGATGCTGGAGATTGAACATGGGACTTTTTGCATGCAAAGCAGATGCTCTGCCACTGAGCCACAGTCCCTCTCTAAAGACTGGAATAATTAAAGGAGAGATCCATCCAATGTGCCTTGTCCTTAAGGAAGAGAGAGGAGGTCCTACGACTGATAGAGATGCTGGAGATTGAACATGGGACTTTTTGCATGCAAAGCAGATGCTCTGCCACTGAGCCACAGTCCCTCTCTAAAGACTGGAATAATTAAAGGAGAGATCCATCCAATGTGCCTTGTCCTTAAGGAAGAGAGAGGAGGTCCTACGACTGATATACAACTTAAAAACTGATAAATCACCGGGCCCAGATGGCATACATCTGAGAGTTCTGAAAGTACTCAAATGTGAATTTGTGGATCTCCTGAAAAAAATACGTAATCTTTCATTAAAATCTGCCTCCATTCCTGAGGACTAGAAGGTAGCTAATGTCACTTCCATCTTTAAAAAGTGTTCCAGAGGAAATCTGGGAAATTACAGACCAGTCAGTCTGATGTCGATACC